CGACGCTCTTCCGATCTCCGATATGTAATATGATTTTTTTTGTGATCAGTCAAAAAGCTTTAGGTAACATTTAGTTGTTTATACAGTCATAAGCGTCTTTGAGTATTTAGAAAAGCGCTATACAAATAAAATGTATTATTCTTTTTATAACAGATGCTGCTAAAACATTTTTATTTAGCAATGAACTGAATAATTTTCAAGATTACATTTCATTCAATTTTTTTCTTTAACAAATGACTGATTTCCTTTCAGAAATTACATTTTTATCATGGGTACACATTGTAGCTGATTAAAAATAAGCAATTATTTTGTGCCTCCAAAAGTAACATTTTATTTTCTACACAAACTTTTGCATGCCACTTTGTCATGCAGAGGTCCCCATCAAAAAAAAAAACAAAAGTCTGGTTCATGTTCAGCTAACTGCCTGAGTCTTGTGGTCATTAAAAACATCATCCTTTTGAAATCTTAAATCATAAATAATTTCTTACAGCAATAAATACACTCCACCTTCATCTATTTGATCCTAAGCTGTAAATCTGTCAAATCAGACCAAAAATAATGACTACTGTGTCAGCAGAATCTAAAAGTCTATTTGTTCTTTTCTAAATGCTTTTGTTCCTTTAGTGTTATAAAACAAATACATAATCATTTTTCATCAGCAGCTTCCCACGCCCATCTGTTCTGCAGGCATTAGATGCTGCATCATTCCCAATGATTTGAAACTAAAGGTGGTGCAGACAGAACAACTGGAGAAAATGTGGTGTAATTATATTCCATATCATTTTACTCATAGGAGGTGCAGCAGTGCAACATTAAGAACAACTATCCAGGTTTCTTATTGGGCTTTTTGAGTTGATTTAACAGTGTTTAAATAAATCAAAAAAAGATGTTCATTTATGTTTGCACTTGTCAAACTGGAGGTTTGTCACCACATTTTTAGCTTTTGCGCTCATGTTCAGTGTTTTTTTATATTGTTCTGTCTGACCCTGCCTGGATCTTGATGCTTTTACTCGAGCTTCATAGTTCATCCTGATTCTTGTTTAATTATATCCATAATTTACACTAGGAGGCATTCATTCATTCAACCTTTATTTATACAGGTTAATCTCATTGAGCTTTGTGGACTCATTTACAAGAGAGACCTGATTTTAACAAAGAGTGATGACACCAGTGGACAACAAAGACAACACTAGACAATCATAAAGGATGCATACAAGATGAGTTACAAGTGAAAATAAAAGGGTATTTAAAAAATAAAACAGTTAGGTTGTAAGGTGAAGTAGAAAACTAAAAACAGGAACATGTCTGCATTGGTTTTTCCCAGGAACTTAGCAGATGTTTAAAGCCACTTAGAGAGGTCAAGGTCGAGAGCTTCAAATCTCTTTGCAAGATATTCCAGGAAACAGGAGCTGAGTAGGAGAAGACCCTTTTGCCTAGTTCAGTCCTCACTGAGGGAACACTGCAGGTAATAATGTCCTGAGAGTGCACGCTGTAGCTGCACTTACACAGTGACATGTAGGAGGAGATGTATGAAGGCAACAGACCAAGAAATAATTTAAAGATGAAAATGTACCAGTGAGAGAGTCTGCGTGAAGTTAATGATGTCCAGTTAACCAGTGAATACTGGGTGCAGTGGTGGGTACGGTAATTACAGTCAGTTATGAATCTTAGTGCACCATGATAGACAGCATCCAATATCTGCAGGGTACTTGTAGGAGCGTTCATGTAAATAATGTCACTGTAGTCAATGGAGGGAAGGAAAGTTCCAGTTACAAGGCGTTCCTAGCATTCAGAGTTAAACGGGATCTATTTCTGAAAAAGAAACCCAATTTTACTTTCAGTTTCTTTACCAAATTTTCGCCATTGAGCTTAAAAGAGAGATGCAAATCGACCAAGATACCCAAATATTTATAGGAATTAAACTCAATTACCATTCAGAATCAGAATAAGCTTTATTATCGTTGTACCAAGATAGAGCGAGAATATGTTCGCACAGTCGTCCGAAAGATGGGCGGAGTGCACGTAGCTGCTGCTATGATAGCGTGGCCTCTTATCCTTTTCATTCGAAAATAAAATCAAAGGAAGAACTGCTGGGACCGACTTCCTGTTTGAAAACAACATCCCTTTGGTTTTGTCGGCGTTCAATGCAAGTTTGAGACGGAACAAATTAGACTGAATGATGTCAAAAGCGAATTGCAAAAGCTGGAAAACCTTAGCAACTGTTTTAACTTGACAATAAACAACTGTATCATCAGCATAGAAATGTATGGATGCATCAGGGATTTTCTGACCTACATTAACTATGTAGATTTTAAATAGGGTGGGTCCTAAGACTGAGCCTTGTGGTACATCATTGTTGACTGTTAAATAACTGGAGGAAGTACCATTATGTTGAACACATTGTCTCCGGTCTGAGAGATAGTTAGAGAACCAACCAATGGTGTGTTCTGAGAAACCAATTTCTGAGAGCTTATGACACAAGGTGTTATGATCCACTGTGTCAAAAGCTTTAAACAGGTCTAAGAAAAGTGCAGCACAATAATCCTTAGCATCCAGTGCTTCAACGTCATTAAGAACCTTCAGTGAAGCAGTCGTTGTGCTGTGTTGTTTCCTGAAACCAGATTGATGTGGAGGTAAGATGTTAAATGAGTCCAGGTAATTTTTGATTTGAGAGTTTATCAGTTTTTTTAGACTCTTGGCTAAAATGCAGAGTTTATTGGCCGATAGTTGTTCAGTGCGGTGGGGTCACCTCCCTTCAGCAAAGGTAGAACAAAGGATATTTTCCAAGCATCTAGAATGGTTGTACATACGTAGTGATACGGTATAGGATTTGACATAAAATGAGCATTTTGTAATATGTTACAGTTAAAAATATAACAACTTATCAGTCAGAATTTAAAGCAGAGTGAGTTGTGCTTTCTTTTCTCGGCCTTCCTGACCTACTTCTGTCCGCACTGCTGTGCCAGAGCTGCTGTTGACTCTAAATATGACCGAGTGATTGTGAGCTCCTGTCTGTACGCACTTGTGTATGAGTGTGTGCAGACAGTGATAATGGAAGTCGGTGGGTCAGCTCTTTGCCTCGAGGTCTGACTCATGACCGCTGAACGCACGTCATCCGCTCTCTCTTTTGCGTCTCTGACTTTCTCCATCCCTCCTGAGCAGAAAGCTGTTTACTGCCACTTTGTAAACTAGACTGTTGTAAGTTTTAGATGCGTTGCTGAGAATGTTTTCTTGTCTCATCTGCTTCAGCATCAGAGACAACAGCTATGGATCAACCGTCCTCCATAGGTGAGTGAGTTTATATAAAGACTGGATGAGTGCTGGCTGAAACATTTTATTTATTATCAAATAAATGTGTGCTTTGATAATCAGTGACTCATTTGCACCACGATTTGTTAAACATTTAGCACACCAAGCGTTGCCACCACACTCTGCTATTTGCTAATTAATTCAGTTTTGCCACTGGTGACTAATGTTGTGTTGTGATGAAAGTTGTTTGAGGAAGATAAAGTTTGCAGTGGATTCTGCAAAACACAGATGCTGATTTTTATTATTATTATTATTATTATTATTATTATTATTATTATTATTATTATCCATCCATCCATTATCTTTACCCGCTTATTCCATTTTGGGTCACGGGGGTCGCTGGTGCCCATGTCCAGCAATCACTGTGCGAGGGGCGGGGTACACCCTGGACAGGTCGCAAGTCCATCACAGGGACACATAGAGACAAACGAGACAAACAACCATTCACTCTCCCACTCACACCTAGGGACAATTTAGAGTTACCAATCAGCCTAACATGCATGTTTTTGGTCTGTGGGAGGAAACCGGAATACCCGGAGAAAACCCACGCATGCACGGAGAGAACATGCAAACTCCACCCAGAAAGGCCCCTGGACCGGGGTTTGAACCAGGGACCTGCTCGCTGAGAGGCAGCAGCTCTACCAGTTGCGCCACCGTGCTGCCCTATTATTATTATTATTATTATTATTATTATTATTATTATTATTATTA